TCTGCATTTTAAAAACACTTCTGGTGGCAGAATTAGGAAGCTTAACCATAACCAACAAGTTCCTCTGGGCAGGTTCAAAAGGAACCATAAGTCAGGTGAGTGAGTGTATTTTGTAAATTATACAATATGATTTTTTATCCCTTTTTTTTCTTCTGTTGAAGGTACTTTTTCTCAAGATTTTATGTGAACTAATGGATAATGATTTTGACTTTGGCCTCCTCTTCAGGTACAACGGCAGAGCCTGGAAGAAAAATTTATGTCTTCTTATCCAAGTGGTGCCCCTGGACGCTCAAGGTAAATGGAAGTTGATGTTTTCTTAGTGTTTAAAAATTACGTATGATTATTATAGGATTCATAGATTCAAGGCAGGAAAAGTTTATAGATTTTTATAGTTTTATTTAAGAATAGAAATTTACTATATACACACACATGAGCTTACTAAATGAATATGACCCTTTTTTTATTAATGACATGAACAGTAAGAAGGTATCTTATTTTTCCTTCATAGGTCTCATGATTCAAGATCCCGGTCCCACAGTAGACACCGAGATCCAAACTTGTCCTACCTCAGTGACTCAGATATGGAGGGTGACCTGAGACAGCAGGCGCTCGCAGTAAGTGCCTCCCACAAGTGCCTACTTGATGTCATGTACATAGACTTAGTAAACATGGACCTCTACACGAGCACAAGAGCCACACGATCCAAGTACAGTCAGCAAAAAGCACGTTCAAAAGATGAGGCCAAAACATTGAAGGGGAACGAGAAGGAGGTTGGAGGCAGAGTGACAGAAGACAGTGTCGAGTGGATGTTTCGGGCTTACTCTGTTGTTCGACAAGGGAAGTCACTGCTTCAGGAGAAATGTGCGATCAAGCTTCAGGTTGAGAGGAACCTAGACACTGCCATTAGTCATGCAGGTATGTTGATGATGCCGTGTTGGGACTTCGGTTTGGGTTTGTATCTGTAGTACATGATTGATATTTATATGTATCAGTTGATCCATCTATCTATCAGTCAATCACTTGATGATCAATAGATAGATAGGTAGATAAATAGATGGATGGATGATGGATTGATGGATGGATGGTGGATTGATGGATGGATGGTGGATGGATGGATGATGGATGATAGATGGAAGGATGGAGGGGTGGATTGGAATGAATAGATGGGTGGATGATGAGGGGATGGCCATAACGGGTGGATAGTGATGGATTCAGATTTCAACTGCATGGATGGTGGATTGCCGACTAGTTGGGATTGATGAATGGGTATGACTAGATTGCATGGATTGATGGAATAGAATGACTCGCTTGATAGAATTTGGATTGCGAAATTGATAAGAAAATAGATAGAAGATGAATGGATGATAGGACTAGATGATTGGGTGTCGGCGGTTCTGGATATGAATCTGTGGATAGATGCGACTGATCCGGGATTTTGTACTGAATTTGATTCACCGATAGTGATAGGATTGCTAGGTAATAGGGTGAGATATGCCCATTCCATGTTTTGTGAAGTGGAGTTGAGTGACTTGTAAAGGTGGTGTGTGTGGTGTGCGTGGGAGCCTGTGTGTGTAGTTTGTGTGCTGTGTCGTTATGATATTGTGTGTAGTGGTGGGTTGTGTGTTGGGTGAGTGTGATGAGTGTGTGTAGCTGTGGAGGGTGCTGTGTCGTGTCGTGTAGTGTGTGTGTGTGATGTGTGGTGTGTGTGTGTGTGAGAAATGTGTGTGTGTGTGGTGGATGGGTGTGTGTGTGTAGATAGATGTAGTGAGGAGAAGAGAAAAGAGGAGGGGATTAGAGTGGATGGCTGTTTAGTGGAGTACGTAAAGGATGGTATGATGGTGGAATGGTGGCAAGTAGTGAGAGAGATAGAAGGAGAAGAGAGATAGAGGTGAGTTAATGAGTGTGTGGTGTGTGTTCGGAGTGTGGTGATATAGTGAGGAGAGATGGGTAGTAGAGGATGGAGTGTGATGGTTAATGAGAGAGGAGACGAGGCGTAGATGGTAGACAGGTAGCGAGGAGGTGTTGCTTGTAATGCGGTATTGGCAGGAGATAGCGAGATGTTAATGGCATTTCTGTGTGTTGTGTAATAGGTGATTTAGCGAATGTGTGAACGTGTGTGGCCTGCGATATGGTAGTAGTATGAAGGTATAAGGATGATGGTGGCTTTGCTTTGTGTAAGAAGGAGCAGAATCTTCATGTGTGTGTACATGTGTGCCGTACATCGTGTGTGTACACTGTGATCCGTGTACATCGTGTGCGTACCAATCGTGGTGCTGCTACAATGTGTGGTGTGCATCATGTGTCACGTTTTGTCGTGGTGTAGGTTGCGTGTGTGTGTGCGCTGTCGAGGTGTGTGTGATGGTGCGTGTGCGGGAGGTGTATTTGTGTGAGCCGGCAGAAGAGAGGGGAGTACGGAGAGGAGCAGACGGTGGAAGAAGATGAGAGCGCAGCGCAGAGCGTTCGTTGTACACAAGGTGTGCTGTGTGCTACGGTGATGGGTATGGTGGTGTGGTCAGTCGGTGTAGGTGGAGCGTGAGTGTGATGACTGTGATAGCGAACGGTGTGATGAAGGTAGCGTAGTAGGAGAGAGGTAGCAGGAAGTGCAGCGAGAAGTCAGGTAGTGTCGCGTAGAGGGTGATGTAGTATGAGATGTGCCTGTGTCGTGGGGCGTAGAGAGAGAGTAGTGGGGTGGGGAGGGATGTGTGAACGGTAGTGCGCGAGGTGTGTGTGCGTGTGGTGATGGCAGGTAGTACGGTGTGTGCGTGGTGTGTGTGCACCGTGTGCTGGGTGTCGGTGGGGTGCATGTTTGACTTGTGTGTGTGTGGATGCATATGTGAGTAGGGTGGTGTGTAGTTAGTCAGCCCATGATTGTGTGTGTGTGTGTGCCTGTGTGCAAGTGCGTGTGTGAGTGTGCGTCGGTGTGTCTGTGCAAGTGCGTGTGTGTGTTGTGTGTGTGTGTGCGTGTGTGGTGCGTGCGTGTGTGTGCGTGTGTGTGGCGTGGCGTGTGCATGCGTGTGTGTGTGTGTGTGTGTGTGTGTGTGTGTGTGTGTGTGTGTGTGTGTGTGTGTGTGTGTGTGTGTGTGTGTGTTTTGATTTAGATGTATTATTTAGTTTTGAAGTTCATTTTAATTATGGGATGTTGTTTTCTTTTATGTTTAACAAATATACATACAACTATTTATCAGAAGCATTAGGAATATATAACATATATTAGTAGGTGCTACATTTTACACTTTTTAGTGCCGGATATGAGCATTCATGGCACAGTCAAAAAGGTCCATGCCACTATCCACACAGCAGAGTACAAGTTTATCCGTGGATTGCTTATGTACAACTTTGGGGAGCCTTTACCTTCTCCTCCTCCTATATACCTCTATCAAACACAGCCACGGCAGGTAAGCAGAATTTCGAGGTGCCATCTAAATCCATGATTTAATAAAAATTACTGAAATGTTCCATATGCATCACATATAGAAATAGTTTTTAACTTTTGAAAATAGAATTGAGTGTGTGAACCACATGTTGAATGAAATGCCATTGCTTTTCTAGACCTGGCATGACCTAGGGTCAGTGTGGACCTCCCTCACAATCATTCTCAACTTGGACAATGTGACCCTTGAGTTGGAGAATCTTGAAGAGGAGAACGTGCAAGAGACCAAGCCCCTTGCCTGTGTCAACTTCATCAGCTCAAGGCTAACCTTTGAGAGCTTTTCGGACCAGACCAAAGATGTTGATCTAGTGTCGCAGGAAATCCTAATCAGTGACACAAGATTTGAGGGTCAGTTGAGGGTTATAGATTTTGCCATTTTTTCTTTGTGATTTTGTTAATAATGGAATATGTATTTGGAATCTGATATCAGGGAAAAGATCCTGGATAATGAGATTATTAATTGAGTTACATGGTCATTGCAGGTATGTTTTTGTGTCAGACATTGATGCTGAAAGTGTCTTTTATCTGTAATGTACTGATTTTACTAAGGCTTTCGTCCATTATCACCTGTGTGTGTGTATGCATGTATATCATAACCATAAGGATCACAGGGGTATGATGTACTTGATTCAGTGTATCTATGTAATTCTAAAAGTATATACATCTCTTTTTCATTTCCAGGCTTCCCAATGAATAAAAGATCAAATATCTTCACAAACATCTTGCAGCCCACACCTTTAAAAAGTGCAAAAAATGACAGCCAGTTGCAGGCTGAGGTTCATTATAGGTATTGCATATTTTGCATTAAGTTGTTGGATCTGTTTCAGTATTGATATTTTTGTATATTACAATATTTTATATGAATACATTTTTTCTCAAGCAGTATTTTGATATTTGTGATCCTCCTAATTTGCACATCAAGGTATTCATTATTAGCCTTTTTAGATATTAGATGTAATAAAGATAATTGTCCTTAATTGCATCATGACTTCTCCAGATCAACAAAAGATGTTACAAGATTTACCATTCTTCTGAATAACATGAGGCTAATGGGAATCTTGGACTGGTGGATGGAGGTGCTGGACTTTATCTACAAAATGCCAGATGACCCAGTTCTTGCAGGTGTGGAGAACATATTATATAAGTTTTATAGTTTTTATATGTGTCATTGGAAGTGACTGCTGATTTGATTGGAAGAAATTATGAATGACTATTGAACTTACAGAATTCTGAAATGTTGCAGGTAGTGGTATGTTATCCAGCAGCCCAGGAGCCTCAGAACACCACAGTTATGCGGCCACTCCTCTCATGTTCTCCCCTATTCATACCCCTATCCTTAGATCACCTCAGGGGCAGTCCCCACAACCCCAGTCTCCACAGCCACAGTCCCCTCGCTCACAATCCCCTTCCCTGGGGCTACAGAGGGAGTGGAGTCACAGGTCTGTCACACCAAGACTGAACCCCATGGTGGAATCAACAGGTGTTATGACCAAGCATGCTCTCATTCAAGAACAGCACAAAGTACCCTTTGAACTGAAGCTGAACATCACAGACTCCGAGCTTGTGGTATTGGAGAACACAGCAGTATGGGATACAAGTGCAGTCATATTAAAGGTTGGTGGGATTAGTAGTTTGGGTAATTTACTGTCAGATTTTGTCATTATTAACATATATGGTTGTAGCCATGCTGATTTTATAGAAAATTTTTGAAAAGGATCATTTTGCATAATTTTACAATTTCGTTTTCTTTTAGAGCACAGCAGTCATCAGTTACCGACCACAACACCAAGAACGGCCTCTGTCATGCAACTTGAACCAGTGTGAGTTGTACTCGTGTATATTAGGCCTGGAAGATGACACTGCTCTTTCCATTATTGACCCTGTCACTATCAACATAGAAGTCAATGACAGATTAGGGCAGCATCAGCCAGTGGACATATCCAATGTGTCTATGGCAGTGCAACATACTGTTGAGGTAAGTCATTTAAAACTGACATATTATTCATAATAAAATACTTTCTGTTGGCAAAGTTATTATTGTAATTGAAAGTGCAACCATACCTACTTTTTGACATGCTATTTTTTTGACATAGGTGGTCATGCACCAATTAAATATTCGTCTGAGTTACCATGACATGAAAATGTTCCAACAAATCCTGGAGTCCATACCAAAACAGCGTGAAGTTGCCAGGAAGCCTTCTGTATCTAGAGAGAAAAAGCAGCCTGCAAATTTTCAAGGTTTGTGGTTCCTTTGTATAAATAAAAGATATTGTAGGTTATGGGGATGTGGCTATTGTAACTTTTTATATCTTGGTTGTTTGGTTTGGAGAAATGATTAATGGTAGACTTTCAGTTGTTGTATGACCTCTTTTTTTAATTTCTTCAAACAGCACAAGTTGACAAGTTGTCAGCTTTGGGATTCCGGCCTGCTGATTGCACCCGTGCCCTGGAGGAATGTAGTGGTAGGCTTGATGATGCTGCTCTTTGGCTAACACATAATGCCCAGCCAGTGCCTGCTCCCACAGTGACAGTCCAGGACCAAGGCAAGTCAGGCACCATCAACTTCCATGCTGTAGAAATCAAGACGGGAAGTGTCAATGTGTGTGTCATTGATGACTGCGGGGATTGTGATGTCCCCTTGCTTGAGATTTCCCTCTCCCATCTCGGTTTGAAACAGGTATGTTTTCTAGTTGTGTTAGTGTGGTGGTCATTAGATATTACAAGCAAAGATTAATGAAAAGAGGGAAACCAGGGTAATTGTTCCCTATTCTCTTAGTTTTGAGCATTCTATGCATATATTTCTTCTTATCCATAACAATGATTATATTTGCAGGATTGGCAAGGAAAAGGATCAGCAAGCTGCTCTCTCTCAGTTGACTATTATAATAGAGCACTGTCAGGTTGGGAGCCTTTCTTAGAACCTTGGCGGTAAGTATATCTCCTTACGACTCTGCATTGTTCAAGTGAAACAGATTATGGCTTTTACCCAACCATCACAATAGCTAGCAGAATCTGTGTGTAACAGTGACAAGAAAAAAATATTTGCCATGTGTTTACATTTTCCATTCCATATTTCAGGTGTGGAGCAGAGTGGGACAAGACTCCATCAAGAGATCTCACTGGAGAACGGCTGTCCTTGAGTGTCAAGACAGAAGATACTGTAAATGTGAACATAACTAATACCTTGCTGGAATTGTACCACATGGTCAAGAACAACTGGACTTTAGATTATTACAACAGAGACAGGTTTGTTCTATTTCACCTGCTCACATTGAAATATTTTCTATTGATTGGTAATAGTCTTTTGTGTATACAGTATAAAGGTATTTAAATTGAATGTATGATTAATTTATATCACATGTTCTAGGCTGGAGATTGAAAATAACATTGTGTCCAATGAAGATGGAGGCAAAACCCTGGTGGTGAGTCCCCAGGGCTACAGAAGGCGTTCACCCTTTATACCTTTTGCACTCAAGAATGACACTGGATGTAATCTCTGTTTTGCAACCATGACAACAACCCCTGACAGGTATGGTAGTTAAGATTGTCATGATCAGCCAGAAGAGGGGTTTAATTTAAGGGGTAATGCTAATAGAATTGAAATAACTTTTGATGAAGGGGTAGTTATAGAAGGAATTCTTTAAGAAAATAGTGAATGATGTATTTATGCGTGATTCATTAATTTAGCAGTTTGATATAGTATCTTCAAAAGGACTGCCTATTAAGTTGATACTTTTAACATTGTATATTTGTTGCAAAGCTGGAGGGAAATTTGATAATCCTTGCCAGTCTATTGAAGTGTGAGATTTTGGTATATAGGAAGGCGATATCATTATAATAGCTTCTTTCCAACTTTTTGATCTTTGTCATTCTCCAGCATGGCTGATGTTGAGAACTTGGGACAGAACGTCATGCCAGAGGTAGACTGGATAAGTGTACCAGCTGGTAACACAGTCCCCTTCTCCTTTGAGGGTCGTGGAAAGCAGCGTCATCGAGATACCCATGAGCTAAAGGTTCACCAGCTATTGGTCCAGGTGGATGGTTGGCAGGCGGTTGGTCCTGTCACAGTGGACAAAGTCGGGGTATTCTTCAGGCTCGCTGTGTCACAGCCAGTGGGAGCCTCGACTCATGTACGTACTTGGTGACTTTGTTAAACTTCAGTTAGATGATATGTATATCTATTACAAGTAGATATATATGTATTTGTATTTATATTGAAGAGTGTATATATATATATTTTTTATGGAAACCCTCCTCTCTGTACCTGTAAATATTGCTGTTCTTATGTGCTAGTGCATCATGCAAAATTCATGTTTGATATAAGAATTCATATATTTTATGTCAGTCCATCCTTTCGTACTAACATCTGATTTTTTTTTTTATTATTTAGCTTTATGAACTGCCAAGTGCAAGAGTTGTCGTAGCAGTCACTCTGGATGGCTCAGCAAGGAAGCTGGTCACCATCCGATCTGCATTGATCCTCGCCAACCGACTTCACTATCCTGTAGATGTCAAGCTGGAAAATGTTGCACTCAGATTAGGGGGTATGAGTCACAAAAATTTGCTTGTTGATTTATATCATCCTTAACCTTCAGATTACGATCACCATTTTCTAATTCTTGTTCTGTTCTTGTTTTTCTTTATTTTGCTTGTCATCATTCCATCAAAAAGAGAAAAGTCAAATTAATTTAAAATAAGATGGAAAAGCAAAGAAATTATTTGTAAAGATGCAAATTTTGAGATTTTCATCTGTTTCTACTGTCATGAAAGTACCTGTACATGTCTTTATGTTGCCTTTTTGTCTAAATATGCTAACATGTGCAACCAGTGACAGTGGTTATTTCTTGCACAGTACCATGAGACAGGCAATATGCATAGTTTTACACAAGTTCCTGTAAATGAATGTAAAAAGCAACTTTGAGGGGTAGTGACTTCATTCAGTGACTTCATTCATGGTCATATGAGTGGACAGCTCTTTAGCATACACAACTTTGAGCATGCTTTACCTTGTGTGGCAGAATGTGGTATAGGTTACCCAATAATGATTCCAGTCATATAATTTCATGGATGTAGAAACCACTTGTCATCAAGGGGTTAATCCATGTCTGTGGGTAGTATGAATACATTTCATGGCCACAGTAATTTTAGTTTGTTAATTGTGTTTGCACAGAGATGGCTCCACAAGTGCTTAGTTGCCAAGTAGTCAATTATTAGTTCTATCAATCTCAACAGTTTGCAAGATTCTTTATTCATTTTATTGTTATTGATATTTTGATGACAATATATTAATAATGTCAGTGATAGTAATAACATTATCTATGTTAACAACATCAGGAAAAAAACAATGTTTTCCCGCAAATGATTGACTCCTTGCTAGCTGAGCACTAGTGGATTTTATGCTCAACAAAATTCTGAAAAATATCTACAGTGGACAACCTATAAACCTGCAGCCATTCGGTTTACAGAGAAGAAAGTCTCATCTGTTTAGAAGTCCTCATGATAATCTAAAAAATGTTTATTTGTATTTGTTCATTTGTTAATGCTTTATTTGTTTGTGTTTCCTTGTTCAAGCATTTATCATTCATATAGTTTTTGTCTATATCATAGAGAGACAAGGCTATTTAAGGAAATCTAGTTAATTAGCATTCTTTTGGTACCATTTGACAGTGTCAAACTAAGATCAAACAAATGTTTGATATGCACATTTATGTACATGGTGGTTTCTATTGGCCCTTGCAGAAATAAGGTAAGAGGCATTTATAAAAGTCTAAGAAACAGATGATTAAAAAAAAGGTAATTATCATTTGTATATGCTACAAATCAAAACTCACGTGGAAGTGAGGCAAGTGAGAAAGTGCCCAGAAGAAAAAAGAGAAAACAGTGATTGAATTTAGGTGCTGAGTGTTGTTCCATGATTTTCTTTACCTTGATTCAACCACAGAGCAGAAAAACAAATTGACATTCCAAAAAAAAAAAAAAAAAAAAGATGGTAGAATATTGGGTTTGGCAGGAGAAGGTGGAGGGCTGTTCTTACTACTGATTGGCAGGGAAGATAATGTGTACCTGTTAGCTTCCTGGATCTAAATGGATGCTGCATCTGTCAGTTCTGCTAGACCTTTGTTTGAAGACTTTGGTCGGAATGACACCATTTCTTAAATTCTTGATCTGAAAATTTGATATATAATATTGAAGGATTGGCTGATGCATATTAATTAGCTCATAACGACAGGGAGTGGCCAAATTATCATTGGTTGATGCATAGATGATATTGTGTATCCATCTATGCATTCAGTCATTGATTCATACATTGCTCCATCTGTCCATCCGTCCATTGGTCCATGAGAAAACATTTAGTTTAGTTTAATTATTTATTTTGTTTGTTTCTTTGACATTAGAAATACTAAAACCTTGGTGTATTTTCAAGGGTTGGGCAGGTGTTATTCACAGCATCGATTGTGATGATTTTGTTAACTGCAAAAGCATTGAGGAATGTTTTTCAGTTTAAAGAATTGGCTAAAGTTAACTAGTTAACCCACTGGTGCCAAGTATTTACACTGTCTACTGTGGCTTTGTTATAGTAATATGGTTTTACATATTTACATATAGATGGTGTCCTAAGCATTTAGTCACTTGCGAAGCAATTACTATTCCTATCTGGCCTTACCCTTTATCCTGTTTGTTGATAAAAAAAGTTTTAATTTCTATAACAGTTTTTTTTGTTATTAAGATTATTGGTGTTATCATTTTTTATTACAATTCTGTAACAGAAAAAAGAATCAAGGAATAGGATGATAAGGTGAAGTCATAGATAAAAAACTACAGTAAACAGTGCATATGTACGTGCATCCCTGGTATCTGTGGGTTATTAAAATCTACTAAATGAAGTGTCATGAATTTTGATGTATCTGTTAAATACTTTTCATGTACCCATAGTAGAAATATTGAATTTGAGAAGTTATTTGAAGAATCTTCTGTAGTCTCAAACATGCATAGTTAGTATTGAGTTTGGCTTTGATGCACTAATAGAAAAACAGCATAATATCTTCATCTACATGTAGGCTCGCAAAAAGTCCCTTTTTTGACAACCTGATAACCTGTTTCAGCTCCAACGCAGCTTATCAAGCGACTGACCCCGGGCTCAGTCTACCCTGTGCCCATCAAGTTTGTCGAGTTACAGGTTAATGTCCGCCCAGTCCCGGACAGGAGCCGAAGTGTTTTCAGTTTCTCTAACAAGCCGGTCTTTTGTACCCAGTCCCTTAAGTTGGGGTATTTGGAGGGTGGGGCAAGACAGTGCCATGCCCTCAACAGTAATCAGGAACACCCCTATAGGTTTGTTCCTAGAAACATCTACGAATGCTAATTTGTTAATTCAGCTTGTTGTCTTTTGCCAGCCCTCCTTTGAGATTTTTTCTTTCTTTTTTCATCTTCCCTGTTTCTGTTTTGTTCCTGAATCTTGAGAGCTTGTCAGGTTTCTTCCATAGCACTGATGGCTGTATTTATCCCAACATACACGCTTTTGGACATGCTCCTGAGTAAGGTATACAAGGATAAATCAAATGAAAAAGTGGATTAACATAAAAGTTGCTGTTGGTGAGAGTCCAGCTTGTGTTGTCTGCACTGCTGCATGAAGTAGTGACCAGCTGGTCTTGTCTCAGACCTGGCATTTCCTTACCACTCTGTGTTGGGGAATGGATAGTCTATTTTAAGTCCTGTGCATATAATGTTTCTTTTTTTGGGTCAGATTTATTTTTATTTATCACTGGATTATGGTATTTGGTCTAGTTTCCTTAAATTCAATATGACTCCATGATGTTCTAAGGGTTGCTCCAAATGTTATCAAAAATAGGTTGTTTTTATGACTGCTAAAATGCAAAGCTAAAATATTGTGGTACTGGTCTTTAGGGAAAAGTCTATCAGCTTCAAGATTTTTGGAATGATGTGTCCAATGCTTCATTGTTACTTGTTTCTAATAGTGAGTTGACAAGGTGACCTTAATTGACCAACATTGGTAACTATTGATTGGCCATTAAGTTAGTTGCAATAGCTACTTTCTTGATGACTAGAACTTGATTCTAGTATCACGACAAAGCATGTTGGAACGGGAGCTCTGCCATCATAACCTTGAGAATCTTCAACTAGAGAATGTAAAAGGGGCATGTTATGACCAGCAGCCATAATATAATGGCTTATAAAGAAATGTCAGTTTGTGATGCATTAGAAAATTTCCTTTGATTAATGAAAACAAAGTGTTTAGGAAGTCATGAAAACGTGCAGTATTATCATGATATTCTTTGAGGAAGATGAGTTTACATCAGGCCTAGATACAGGAAAGACACTTAGAAGCAAGAAGGACAAGGAAGGTGTTAGGGATTGACAAGGATAGGAAAGAAGCGGACTAATGAATTATGACTGTGGAATGGAGAAAATTAACATCAGACTTTGAACAAGGAAGACAACTCTACCAATATTTTGGAATAAAAGTTTTTATTTTATTTTACAATATTTTGTGTATAGTTTATTCATGTATGATACAATATATTACTGTTACAGTGAAATAGTGCAAAAGTATGTTATGTATTATTATTTTATGTACTGTTTACTTATTTATTTAATTGTCTATTTGATTTTTTTTATCTAGCTTGTCTACCCCCTAGCTAGCATGCTAATATGCAAAGCTCCTGCAATTAGTTTCCTCTATGTGGACATAGCAGTCATTTTATTTTTGTTTCATGTTACCTCAGATGTTAAAATCCTTCAAGTGGCTCCCAAGTCCAAAGTACCTGTCCCACTGGTGTATGCTTGGGCTCGGATTTTGGTGCGGCCAGTCACTGCTCCTGGGGGGGGTTGGCTGTATTGCCAGGAGCCACTGCACTGGCTCACCCTCCTCAAGCCCCGGCAGGAGGCCACAGACCTAAGAGCTTGCCCTGCCATCAACACGCACTTGCCACCTTTTAGGTCTGAATGAGTTTTTTGTTTTTTATTTGATTTTTATGCTTTTTGAAGACCTTGGTTTGGGCATTTAAATTTTATTCTATTTAGGTGTGTTGATATACTTTTAGGGCTTTGTATAGAGCTTTTAGAAAAAATGTAGTGACTCATGATTTAAGTGTTGTTGCATTCTTAACGTGAGGAAATATAGTTTGATGTTGTAAAAACTCTGAATCTTGATGTGCATGATTAAGTGTTAGATATTTGTTTGTCCTAGAATACTTAATATATAAAATGATGAGTATAAGACAGTGTTAACTTATGGCAGTAGTGAAGTAACCTAATTTGTTTCAAAGATGTCTTGAAAAGTTATCTTAAAGTAGAGCAATCATATATATATATTTTCATTTACAAAATTAAAAGTCTGTTTAACATGAATCTTTAAGGAAAATCTATGTATATTTTTAAAGTTCCTAATGGTTGAACAGGTTTTGTGTTCATGTGAAGAGAGACAATTTTCCTGTGGATTCATCTCCCCCTTCTCCACCCACAAACTCTCCACATTTAACACCTCGACATAATGAGTGGGTGAGTAGAGGATTAATGATAATTGTTTTTATTGTAATGTATTTTCCATTTTTCCCCTAGTGTTATATTGGAACATCATGTTTTGATTGCATATAACACTACAACTTCTTCCATATAACACCACAACTTCATCCTTATGTTTTATTGCATTTCTAATAATTTCACAGGTTCAACCAGGTCACACAATAGTGCTAGTGAGCCCCTTGACCTTGGTCAACCTACTCCCATATGACTTACACTACGAAGTCAAGGCAACAGGCAATGTGGGTCGAGTCAAGCCGGGAGCGGATGACTGCCTCCACTCTGTTGACCCAGCTCAGAGTATCTCCCTTTCTATATGGACAGATGCTCTTGAGCCTTGTGGAGAGATAACACTAAATCCATCTACCTCCATGTATGTGCTGCCATTCAAATTGCAGGACTCACAGAAGCGTATCCTATACATTCACTTAAAAGTGAAGCCGCAGTTTGGAGGAGCGCTGAAGGTCAGTTTTCATTAATCTTTTCTAGATATTGGAATTTCTAGTGTTAACATGAACAAACACAAGTAAACACAAATATGCACACAAACTCACAAACACACAAACACATGCAAACAAACACACTCAAACATAAACAATAAAGATCAATCAAACTCAAACAAAACAAGCAAGGAAGCACACACAACCATACATACACAAACACACACAACACACAAACATGCACACACACACACATACACACACACAACACACACACACAACACACACACACACACACACACACACACAATGCACAACACACACATACACACAACACATTCACACACACATGCACACACACACATGCACACACACGCATGCACACACACACACATGCACACACACACACACACGCACACACACACACATGCACACACACATGCACACACACACATGCACACACACACACACACACACACACATGCACACACACCACACACACACACACACATGCACACACACACATCACACACACACACACACACACACACACACACACACACACACACACACACACACACACACACACACACACACACACACACACACACACACACACCCATGCACACCCCCAAAACACCCACGCGCACCTCCAAAACACCCACGCGCACCTCCAAAAACACACACCGCGCACCTCCAAAACACACGCGCACCTCCAAAACACACACACCTCCAAAACACACACGCGCACCTCCAAAAACACACGCGCACTCCAAACACACACACGCACACCGCATATACATCTTTGTTATTTTTTTGTTGAATAATACTTTTTATCCAGTTAGTTTGGCTTTTGATTGTCCTTCTAATTTCTTATTGAGGGGTAATCAAAACCTTGTCAAAAAATGTATAATACAAAAATATAAGTGTGAAATAAAGATGTAACTGAGGGAATTCTCTTTTACAGGTTGTCGTATATGCAGGATATTGGCTCATCAACAAGACAGGGTTACCCTTGGTCTTCAAACAGGAGGGTGTATCAGCTGATGCTGCAGGTTTGGATACTATGGTGTTAAGAAATAGAAAAAGTTTATTTTTATATTCAAGTTGGCATGTACTGAAAATGTAGGGAATTTGCTGGAATGATTATAGGTACCAAAAGATTTTCTTAATCTAAATCCGATTTAAAGAAAGTTGTACAAATGAGAGTCAGTTGACACTTGGGTAATACTTATTTTCCTCTCTAATTACCTTCAGGGCAGGACATGGAACATGAAGTAGCTCGTTGTGCAGCCCCACTGATGTTCTCTTTCACTGATCGTGATGCCAACCCTATGCTTGTTGCTCGGGTGGGACGCAACTTACATCCTGAGTCGAGAGCACAGGTAAGAAAAGATATTTTCCAGTTTGCACTGTATATTGGGTTGAGAAATTTTTGTAAAAGTGCTTACAATTTACAATTCTTTAGAAAGCTATGGCTTCATTATAATCTGATGTTTGATGAATGTGCACAGCAGGAGGCTAAATGTGTATGAATAAAAAAAATTTATATGTAATTTTCATTTCCCAGTTTTGCCATAAGCTCCCTCTGACACAAGGGACATGGGTTCGCCGTCTCAGAGTCAGTCCTTCAGATGCCCGGCCAGACCATGTCTACATTGTCGGTGTTGATGTGAGACCAGGACGTGGACGATATAGAGACACGTACATGGTCACATTCTCACCTCGCTTCCAGATTGAGAATAGGTCCTCCCATGAGCTGATTATTGCACAGAAATGCTTTACGACATCCTTTGTGAGCTGAGTTCTTTGTTTTGTTCTTGAGGATTTCCTAATGTTCCGGAATAATTTTGTGTTTTTTATTTGTTCACATTCTCTTAATTTTCTACAGTTCCTAATCTCAGACTTTAATTGCACAGACCGACCCTGGAGCCCAATCTACCTGGTTACGAGCCATCCCATGTTGCTGGCTCCCCTTCCACTGGCCACGACCTGACAAGGACCAGCTATTGTGCATATGTCTTCGAGATGTCCAAGGGTGTCATTGGTCTGGTGGATTCTTTATAGAGAAGATTGACTCTTTCTACCTGAATATTCGGTAAGTTTATGTGTAAATTGTACGTATACAGTTGGTAAGACTATTGAAAGAGAGGTGCTATAGAGGATGGTTGGTCATCCTCTATTTGATTGGTCTGTTATCTCTTTATGGAGTGATTGGTTGTAGGTGTGAGAGCCCACAGGTTTAGCTGGGTGCTGGAGGTGTTGCTGGAGATCGATGGGGAGAGCTGGTGTGGCTCCCGACAGGTAAGGCCTGGGTAGGGCTGGAGTTGCTTGCTGCTTTGTCTTCTTCAGTTTGGAGGATTGAAATGAGTGATGATCTCTGCCTGGGCACTGGAGCTTAAGTACTATTAAGCTGTGTCAGCTACCCAGGACGGATAGATACAATAGTTAGATAGATTTATAGAGAGGAAGATTGATTGCTTTAGAGATTGATACAGTTGTACGATTATACAGTGCCTACACTGTGGGCACTGTATAATTGTCTAGACTATATATGTTTGTACCTTACCCAAATTTTTTAGATTATTTTGCTGTCTTAGATGTGAGAAGACTATATTAGCATATATATCTATCACCAAAATTTTGTTTTTGCTTTTCTCTAAGTCCTTTTTTTTTAAAGCTGTGACTTGAGTTTGTTTTTAATTTTTTTTTATTGACATTTTTTTTTTTTACAGAGATGGCAACAGTCACTCGTATTTCATCCGTGTAGAAGTCATCATCAATGATGCCACCTACTTCATTGTCTTCACCGATGCAGAATCCTTGCCTCCTCCCTTTCGAATCGACAACTTCTCTGAAGTGCCAATCACCTACTACCAGGTATGAAAGGGGTGTTTGCATTTATGCAGAAGTAATCGACGTCTTAGTCATTTAGAGATATATATGGATATTGTGGTTATTTTATATATTTCATTTTTTTTCTGTTCATAGACTGGCACTCAGGAGGAGAGGTTAAGAACTATAGTCAAGCCACGCTCATGTGTCGCTTATGCCTGGGATGATGTAATGTTGCCACCTCACCTCACGTGCGTTGCCCCGGGGGGAACCTCTGCCACGTATAACTTGAACATTCTCTGCGAGGGTGCAAGGTTAACATATGAGAACTTCATCTACATTGCTTTCACAGGGACCTTTCGCAAGTGAGTAATGTTATATTGCTCCTTGGTTTAGATTTTGCCATTTTTTTGTAAAAACCTTTGCCTTGCTTTTTATTCTTTTACTTCTTTATTTATTATTTATTTATCTATTTGTTTATTTTTTTTTACTTTTTAGAAAGTAATGTGTTTCAGAAATTTATTTTCTGGGCCAGTGCTTGGTATCCTTTCACTGCTCACAGTCAAGCATTTTCCTGCAGTTAAAAAGTAAATGATAATTGGCTTTTTTGGAAATGCTTTTGTTCCCTCCATGTTGAGAGGCCCCTTAACTAATGGTATCTTTTATCACCCTGGGAAGAAGGTTGCCATTACACATGTAAGTATCCACACATTCTTTGGAATGTTGCTACACTTCCCTGCTTGCCAGCCATCATTGTGTGCACGTAGCTTGCCACTTAGTGTCACCGGCTCTGCGCTCTGCCAAAAGTATGTGACCCCAGTGACCTTGCAAGAAATTTTGCAATGGTTATTCATGGACTGGGAAGAGAGTTTTGGCAGTGTCCTCAAGCTGTCAAATAGAGAATTGTTGAAAGTTATTAATGCGTCCAATAGATCAGTTGGTAGTGTCATATTTTTACTTTCTCTTTTGTTTTTAATCTGTCACTGCCACATTTCTTGGTGAATGAAGGTTTATTTATTAATTTTCTCTGTCAGGATTAGATATGATGGAATAGCTTACTTTTTCTCTACCTATTGACTTGATATTTGTCAGGATCATCAGCAAAGGACTGAAGATCCCTTTAATGAGTCCATGCATAGTTTCATTTTAGTATTATAGTACATGAGGGTCCTTTTTTCTGTCAAGTTAAGTACACTTCCCAGAACACCTCTTAAACCCTCTTTTTAGGAATACTTATGATGAAGGTTCACATGACCTGAAATTATATGTTTTTCTTGCCAGAAAGGTAATTTTCAAGGCACCTTAAACATTGATTATTGTCACTTTGTTAGGAGGGAAGAATTTGCTGTTTTTTCCCTCTTTATACATGCATTCTTATATACATATACTTTTTATGTATTCATATCTGTCTCTTGTTCATCTCTTCAAGATATGCAAGGTATTTAGTGTCATGAATGGTAACTGCTGACCTTCAGTACTAATTATGACTTATTACCTCTGTATTGAGGACATTACTGATACCTCTTTCTGTAGACAAAGAACATGTTCAGTGAATGACATCATCTTTTAGGAAAGGCATATATGTATATATATTTTTTTACTTTGGATTTGGCCCAGCTTTGAATTCTTTATTTTTAGATAGTTCCTTCTTTGTTAGCAGTCACAGGTGCTAGTTCCTTACTTCTTTATGATGATGGTGATGATGATGAGGGTGATGGTAATAGTGGACAAGTTAAGTTTTGATATTGTTATGATTTTGTGATGTTCAATAACTGCTTGACAGCTTTGAATAGTCATTGTGAGTACTCTTTACAAGAAACAGATTTCTGAAGAGAATTTTCGGTCTTTTTTTTTAAATAAAATAGCTGAATAAGACAGAATATTTTTGAGAAAGAGGTTAATTGATAAGTACACACAAAAGCATTTCTCTCTGTGATTAGTCTGATGTTAAATGTAAATACTTTATTGGTAGTATCATGTATTTAGAAAGATGTACTGTATATTGAAAGCATTGAAAATCAAAAGATTAGGTTTTGGTAGTATTATGTATTTCGAAAGATGTACTGTATATTGAAAGCATTGAAAATCAAAATATTAGGTTTGTAGTAGATTGAAATCCTATCATAGTTTTAAGATTTTCTTCCTTTAATAATTATGTACTCATTTAGCATGCCTTTTTTGGCAGATGTGTATTTTTTATTGGCATTTTATATCTTTCATTGGCATTTTATAAAAAAAGAAGCAGAAAGAGAATATTGCTTTCTATTATTTATTGTCTATGAATTTTTTTCTTCCTTTTTATGGAAGAAGGTTGTGCTGCTGATTCCTGCATTTGTGCCTGTGTGGCAGAATAACATTGCATGGGATTTTCCTCTTATATAGGAGTTTGTGAGTGGAATAGTGAAATAGTTTGCTGTGAATTGAAGCAGCCCTTCTAAATTTCTAATGCCAGACAGCTTCTTGCATACATGCACACATATATGGAAACTTGCAGACACATACAGAAAAATGCAGCCATGTGTAGACACAGAGACACAAGATGAGACCTGCCAACACTTGCTTACACATGCTGATACATGTTGACACATGCAGACTCATGCCAAAACAGGCAGGTATATTCAGACATATACAGATATACTAAGACACCTTGAAACACAGAAAAACATACGCAGACTACACAATTGCTAAAGAACAGTTTCTCTTCACAAAAGGAATCTCTAGTCTACCCAAAATACAAGATACAGATTATAGTATACTCAAGTGCTCAGTCACAATGAACCAGGGGTTATAAGACAATGAACATCTTTAATGAATATTTTATTTAAGCAGTTGCAGCAATGATATGGGAGGTGTGACAACTGTACAAAACACAAACGTACCTTCACTGTTTACTTCTTTCCTTCTTTCTTACAGAATGTGTGTCTTTTATAGTGTAGAGTAAATAAGCCTAGTAGTGTTTTTAGATGCTGAGTACCAAGCCAAGTTTTGCCCACACAAATCTGCATGCGGATGATGATATTGGACTTGTGACTGGATGGTCAAATTGCTCGGAGACACTTCTGTCCTACATACCAATGTTCAGGGGTCTTTTCCCACTGTGTGTTTTACAAAGAACAAAGAATATGTTTTTTAATGAAGTTGTGGGAGGATATTTGTTTTAGTGTCTGAAGTAAAGAGATCTAATGAGTATAGTTAAAGAAATTTTCCTTCCCTGATATGCACAGTTTTTGAAACAAAGTCTTTGAAACAAAATTGAAAATGCATAATGCAAATACTCAAGATTTTATGGGCAATGTATTGATTTATATGATTACTAATTGAAGGAACCTGTACAGACATTCATTAGTGACCAAATACTTGGAAAGGATTGTGAAAATACTTACAGATCAAATTTTGTATAATAGATTGGCAGTTTAAGCATTACAAAATATTGCTTTTGCTTGTCACAGTGTATTTGTGCAGTTGTTACATGTCTTGCATTCATGACAATATCTCATAACAAAGTGAAGTATTTTGTATCTAATATTTTTCCTATTTTTCCCTCTTTTCACTGTTGTTTTTTTAAACTAATTTTCTAAACCAAGAACTTATGACAAATATGCAGTACTTGATGGAAGTACTGCAAAGTCATATTAATCTATCTATCTTTCTCTATGTATGTATGTATGTATATATGTATGTATGTATGTATGTATGTATGTATGTATGTATGTATGTATGTATCTCTATCTATATGTGCATCTATCTATCTATCTGTCTATGTATCTATCTGTCTATCTATCTATCTATTTATCTATCTATATCTATCTATCTATTTGTCTATCTATCTATCTGTCTATCTATATATATTTATCTATTTATATATATATGTATATACATATGTGCATATAAGTACTTATATATATGAATAGCTGTGTATGTATTTTCTCTTAGTTTATCTTATTTTTCTGAAGTGGCTCTAGAAGTATAACTCCGACTGTTAAAGACATCTGTCAGTGTAATCTGTGCATGATTTTTTTTTGAAAGAAGGTAATGTCTGAATGCAAGCCCTGAAATGAGAGAAGAACATACACACTACATTACATAATTAATTAGCATGTCATATCCATTA